CTGGCTAAGATGTGTCTTGGGGAAGATCTTCTTGGGTTGATTCTAACTGGGGTCCTTTGTATTTCTTGGGTCTTGATGCTAGAGTGCCTCTCTTGACACGCAAAATTTTTTTCTAGGATTTCATGGAATAGATTTTTTATGCCATTATTAGTTTCTTCACCTTCTGGGATGCCAATTATTCTGATATTTGGGCGACTTATGGAATCCAGTATTTCTTGTTTATTATCCTCGTTTTTTTTTTTGTTATTTTCTGTGTCTTTTTGGTGGTTCTTCGTAGGTCAGAGGTTTTATCTTTTACATCAGATATTTGATCTTCAGCATGATCTTATCGAATTTTAATACTTTCAAGGGGGTTTTTGATTTCCTCTATTCCAGACTTTATCTCTAATAGTTCTATCTGGTTCTTTCTCAGAGTGTCCATTTCTTCTTTCATATCTTGGAATGACTTTCTCCTCTCCTGTAGTTCGTTTTCTCTTTTCTGTTCCAACTTGAAGAATTTGTTCACCATAAATGTTCAAAATTCTTTGTCTGACATTTTGGTAACATCGTCCATTGGCACTAAAGATGGAGGGAGTTACTCTGTACCTTTGATGGAGATATATTTCCTTGTTTATTCATACCAGAGGCTCTTCTTCTACTTCTAGCCATTGGAAGATGTACTACCTTTTAAGTACCTGTTAGATGAATGTTTCACTGGCTAGGAGTGTGTTTCCCTTTTGTTGGGAATTGACATCTGCTGAAGTCTCTGTTCTGTTGTTTTTAGCAATGTGGTCTCAAAAAAGGTACTATAGTCAGGTTTCTGAAGAGCAGAATCTCCTTTTTTACAGCTGGTTCCATATAAGAGAGGAACCAATGTAACTTTATATGACTGGAAAATTTCAGATCTCTAATTCTAGGCCTAGGTAGTCCCTCTGTCAAAATGGAGGAAGAAGAGAAGATAATATAAGACAAAAGAAAGGAAGAGAAAGGAAAATAAAGAAAATGTCATGCACCACACCATTTCACCAGATGCCTTCAGATGTACCAGTCTGCTGTATGCTGTAGCCAAAGGCACAGTCTGTGGAGAGAGGCAGAGGAAGTAGCCATTTTATGATTTCTAAGGAGTACGTTGATAATAAAAGTGAAGTGATCCAAGTAGATTAAATTTGATGTACACACAGCCAATTCTAGGTCTAGCTAGAAATCTCTTTGTTCAGGAATAAATAGAAAAGGAGAAAAATAACACGAATGTCAGGCCTGGAGGTATATTCTGCAAGAATAAGGCTTAGTGTTCACAATTATGGGTTTCTCTGGTATAAAATTCACCCCTGAACATCTGAGCTTAAATTCTTAATTTTCAGAAAGTGTTTTTTGAAATTCCAGTGTTATTTTGTTCCACCATTTTGACTCACTTCTTTAAAGACTTGAATTATGTATTTTCCATGTGTTTTCTATACTGAATCGTTATGTTGTGTATAATGAAGTCTACCCTCCAAAAATAAGCTTTTTTTTTTCTTAGAAAGAGAATTTTGTTGTGGGCATGTGTGCACACTGAAGAGACAGAGACAAAAAGAAAGAAAGTGAGAAATAATGCCGTAGTGAGGATAGCCACACTGCAATCCCTTCTTTTCCATTCTCCTCTCAAGATCTTTGGCATGCACACACCAGCACCCAGAGTGAGTTTTAAGCTGCTGTTCTGGGACTTGAACCACAGTCTACTACATGGGAGTTCAGTGATGTAGCCATTATATTATCTGCTAGTTTCAGAATAAAGAATTTTTATCTTAGTTAGTCAAATCAAATAAATCAGTCCAAACAGTCAAATAGCATGCTTAAGAATGACAATTGAAATTAAGTTTTTCTTTTATGAGGCCTGTTACTAAACTTAAAATCTTGAAGAGCTTGAGTTATATTTATAAATATATATTGACATAGACATATTATACAAATATAACATTTAATTTTTAAGTAGTTATTTTTTGTGTATATTACATTCCTTAGCCTGTAAAATGTTTGACATATACAGGATTACTCTTGCATGTAACAATGAGAGCTAAAAATGAAAGCTAAATCCATGTCTTTTATAATATAGTTTTCAGAAATAGTGTACAATTTTTTTCACCATCCTTTATTAAATCAGTACCAGAAATGCTCTGAGATGTTAACGAGCCTGTGTTTCTCTTATCTTTTATTTTGCCCTTCAAGTACGGCCCCCCCGCGGGGGGCCGCGGCGCGCAGCCGCACCACCGATCGGCTGGCCTCCCTCCGGGTGGGTCCAGAACTCGGGGCTCACACCCGGCGTTCAGCTGCCTCTCTAGGGCCAGTGTGTGGCCTTTGGACCAGCAAGCTGAAGCGGAAAACAAGGTCTGAGAACTTGCAACTTGAGAAGATGATGGTTACCAGCCCTGCATTGCCTCAGGGAAGAACAGGAACTACTCTACCATTCTTGAAGTGAAGGTACTTAATGAGAATAGGACAGTGTGGAATGGGGTAAGTGAAGAGAAGAGGATAGAGAAAGATAGCAAGTGAGCAATAGAGAGACAGGACGTTAGTGAGAAACAGATAGGGCTTATTAACTGTTGATGATGACATGTATAGAATTCTCAACTGGATTGGTCTGAGAAGTGTTTCATGACGGGCAAAGTATTTTTACAAGCAAAACAAGAAATAGCAATTGACTGTTTTATAAAAATAATTAGAATAATAAAGATAATGATTGGGGAAAACAGAAAAGATATGGAATGTTGAAGTGGGAAGATTAATGTCTCTGTACTAACTGACGTGCATGGCATTCCCTTTTGAAGAAACAATGTAATACACTGTAAAGTTATATGTAATCCAATGTAATATGAAGAAGATATGATGATAAAAAAAAAATCACAGGGTTTATAGTAAGAGAGAACAAGTCTTCCCCCCAAAAGGGAAATTCTGTATGATCAGAGAAAACGATAGTATTCATTGTATGGCCTGTGATATATGTTGCTGGTTTTCTTCCAATATCCATCTGGCTTTATTCCTTAGCAAAAGAATCTCTAATTTTATCTTGGCAAATGGCCACTCAGAATAAATAATACATTAATCAAAAAAAAAAAAGTTTAGTGGGCTATTTTCCCACTATCCATAAATTCACAGGTTTATGCCTCATTAGTAAATACTGTGCAGTGTGTGGTCACAAATATAGACATGTTTTCTCCTAGTGCTCATTTACATGTTCGTCCCTGCCTTGGCCATTCTGAGCACTGAATTCTTACTTCCAGTAAATACCTTTGTTTATAGGTAACTATGGAACAGGAAACTGCAAGTCTGACCCACATAGGAAGGCTCTAGGTTCACATCTGACGACCTCCCTCATCACACTAGGCACATGTGTGCCTATGATCTGGGGTTGGCTGAGGCTGCCCATTATTGTTTATCAAGGCCCTGTTGGAAGTGCCTGTCCCTCTCTCTTTCACCCTCTCTCATGGAAGACATAAATAAACTTTATAAATGAGTAAAAAGCTTCTGTACTTATTGCCTTCTGAAATTTTTCTTCCAGGTACCTAGGATTCTGGATGCTATTTATAAGCAATTGAGTAAAAATCCTTCTCACATTATGAAGCATGTTATGCTGAGGGTCATTACTTTGTTGACCCGCACTTCACCCAGGATGATTATCTTTAAACTGTTGGACTACCCAGTCCCAGCAGACAAGTAAGTATCTAGTCCTTACCCCTTCATAGTCAGATGGGCCTGGTCTCAATATGCAGAAAAACAGAGCTAAACCACTATCTCTCACTCGCTTTTTAAAAATCAATTCAAAATGAATTCAAGATTTAAATACAATAATTAAAACTATGAAACTACCAGAAGAAAATATAGGTGAAATGTTCCTTGACATTGTTCTGGACAAGGGGTTTTTGCATAAGACTTCAAAAGCACAGATGACAAAAAACGAAAGTAGAGTAAGAAGAGTAAATTACCTTAAAAATCTTCTGGGACCAGATGAAGGCTCAGCAATAAAATATAATGCTATCTAAGTCTGATCTACATGAGAAAGTTCTGGGTTTATTAGAGTTAGGCCTATGTTGTTTTCCTTCTTTCTTTCTTCTTTCTTTCTTTCTTCTTTCTTTCTTTCTTTCTTTCTTTCTTTCTTTCTTTCTTTCTTTCTTTCTTTCTTTCTTCTTTTTTTTAAGAGAAGCTCTGTTTTTGCATCATATAGGATGATTGTAAGGGATTAAATATGATTAAGTATGTCTTATGTTTTAATAAAATACCTGGGGCACAGTAAGCCCTCAGAAATAATCAGTGTCACCATTATTCATCTGAAGCTTTAAGTAAGGTTCTGCTACATATCCATGGAAATAAACATCTCAGATTGATAATATATTTTCTTCTAATTTTTTAACTTACTAATTTTTCTTGGAGATAAAAATGGTCATGTGTGCTTATGAGACAATCTGGATCTAACAGGTACATGGAAGAACTTATAAAAATCCTTTTCTAGTTTGAACATTGGGAAGGAAGGTAGTACTTTTCTATTATTAATGGTATAAAGGCAGGAAGTTTTATTACAGAAAGAGCTCAGGTTTTGAAAACAAATGACTCTGGATACCTCCCCAACCTGGGCCCATGCAAGTGTGATAACATTTCTGATGCTCAATGTTATCCTCTGTGAATCGAGGATAATTTTTTCTTTTTTTAAAAAAATAATTATTTATTTAATT